TGGAAATCGACTTCTACAAATATTAAGTATGTAAGCTTGTATATATAAGTGTACAAATTGCAAAATATGTAGTTCAAGCACGTTTTATTTATAGCTATTGTTCTTGTTGCTGCATTTGTTCATTGCAGTAATGGTCACATTTGCGGTAGCTTTGTCCAATTAATTAACACTTCGCAATTCATTCGCCATAATTCACAAAGTAAATATTTGCACTTTGCTTCTGTTCCAGTGAAAAGCAAAGCGTTTATGGGTTTTTGGCGAGCAAAGATGTGTGTAAATCATAAAGTCACTAAATTGCCAAATTTCAGCTAGATCAAAGGCAGATAGTGTTCGAAGATTAGGCAGCGTTGCCATGTCCAAATTATTTTTATTTATGGTCATATGCTTAATGAAATGGAGAAAATTTATAATTTCGATTACTCAAGTCATGTTGTGTTGCCGTTATCAGTAAAATATATGCTGTTCTCTCACTTTTAAAAATCTCTCAATTTGAGTTTTCATTCCACTCCATTAGAGATTTATCTTTTTTTCAAATATTGCAGGTTAAGAAATATCTTAGAAACTACTAGAATTTTTGAGGTTAGGTTAATATTTATCAATTTCTCAACTGACAAACATAATGTGACAATCTGACAAACTTAATCTTCATAAACACAAGCAAAAACGTTAACTTCGGCATCGAGTTTGATAAGTGTTTCGACGATTGGAAGAGCGCTGGCATAATATCAAATGGGCACTGTTTTGAACGCTACAATATTAATGTAGACGAATGAATAAATATTTTTATCCAAATACGAAAATTCTCGTTATTTTTTGAAAACACCTTGTAAATTTATTCTCCAACGTTTCCATCTTGGTGTAGCAAACTTCGCGGCAAACTATATGTTCTTCAGAATATACAATAATAAGAGAATATACAATAACAGAATATACAATAATAAGAGCAATGTTAGATGAGAGTAATGTAAGATGAGAACGAGATATAAGTAAAATGTGAGCATTGCTTAAAAGCTGTTGAAACCTAGCCCTAGATGCTGCGGAAAACTTCTTACAATCAAATCGGCCTCAAGACGAAAGCAAAGTTAACGAGATTGGCGAAAGGGCAAAATGGAATAAACTTTCTTTGCCACTGTTGGGAGTACATAGTTAATCTCTCACACTAAAATTATATCTGTATTTTTCCCTTAGATATGTGAAACCAAGGTTGTAAAATCTTTATCATTTCAATGAGAGGGAGCCTGTGAAAAATGGCACTTTGAGTGGCAGAAGTTTGATATAATATTTTGAAAAACTTAATATAAAAACAAATTTCATGTGTTATTTGAAAAAAAAAATGACGATGAAAAAAGTTTGCTGATATCAAAAAGTGTGTTAATAACCGTTATCCGGGCTCTGTGCCAAGCTAAGCAACTATTCGTTAGTGGTTTGCTAAATTTCGAACAAGCCACATAAGTACCAAATACATTTAACTTAGTGGAAGTCCAAAAGGCTATTACGGCTGAAAACATAAAAAATCTTTCAGACATCAATAGAATCATAACCGGAAATCAATCGTACAAAAATTATATCGAAAAGTTAGATGATCACTAAAAGTAGCTTATCTTCTATCTATTATCTTTTCAACTATTTTATTTTCTTTTCTCAATATTTGATTTATCAAATATTTAAAGTTAAAAAAGGCTGGACTTTCTGCTCAAGATATAATAATTTTTAATAAGGTCTCTAAGTAGTCAATAATAAGCCTCAGAGGGTATTTCTGCTAAGAAATATTTTCTCATAAAATCGATCATCCACTTAGAGTCTACTTAAAAAGTCTATTGCAGTCTATTGTTGGCTAACAGCTAAACGCTGACCATAAATGGAAGCAGTAGCTCGATCAACTTTGTATATTCAAATATAAATATTTATTAATATATTGTTTGACTGACATAACTAGCAATCTTGTTAAAATCGTAAAAAATTAAAATAACGATGTCATAAATCATTATTTGCAAGAAGCAAATAATATTATAAACAAATTACAAAATTACGACAATAATAAAAAGTCCAATATTTTTATAGCACTTAATTATGTAGATAAATATTCATATACATATGTACATATGCATGTAATTTTTGACATACATACATGACACATAAGTGCTTGTATACTATAAGCCAAAAATCTACTATTTTCTGTAAAAAAAAACTGAAGTAAAGTAAAAGTCAAGTAAAGGCGTGGGTGCTTGTGTGCCATTAATTCTCTAATGGTTATAATAAATTATAATTAACAACATTTGACAAGTGTGAAACATAAAAGTAAGCATTTCAATTAGTCATAATTGTCGACGGCATAAAGCCAACTTAAGTATCGTAAAACAAATGGATGCATTTGTTCTGCGTTTGCACTTTGCTCACACTATTTCAGAATGTACATTAAGCTGTTCGTTATTTCGGAAGTTTATTTCTTTTTTTTCCACTGGCTCACAGTAAAAAAAAGAATCCAATGCAAACAATATCTTTATTTTCTATTTAAACAGTGCCTAAATCAATATACTTTTCCATATACGAGTATTTAACAATGGATTTTTCTATCTGTGGCAAAAAATTATTTATCTGCAAATAAAAAATACCTACAACTTTGAAAACATAATGCTAAAATACAAAATTGTTCGCTCTATTCTTTTAAAAGTTATACGCATTTAAATTTATGCATCAAATGTTCTGCATGAATGCCGTACGCCATGGCGCATGAGTAACATAGAATGTTACGACGCTTGTATAAATGCTAAGTACATATGATGTATATATATAAGTTTAATGAGTTTTTAAATCAATATCATTTTTTTAACTTTTTCAAAATTGTACATTTACTTGCTTAATGCAAAATATCAAAAAACTCAATATAACTTAGGCACGTTTTTAATTGAAAATAATGAGCTTGCTGACGTCGGATCCTTGTTTTTAGGGCAAAAGCTGAAACATCAGGGGGTGTTAACTATGAACTTGGGAAATAGCGGGCACCCTAATGTACATATATAAAATTTTATGGATATGTGTATGTCATTCGTGCTCATTTGTTAAAACTGTTAATATTACAATATCATGCATGCGTGCTTACATACACATATATTTATAATAAGAGTGCTATGACTTATTGCTAAGCAATGGAAACCTAAGAAAGGATATAAGTTAAGTAGTTTTTTTTTTTTAATAATTAAAACTTATATAACATTAAAAGTATAACGGAACTTGGCTAATGTGATACATAACGGTATTGGTATATTCGACCCATTACTTCGATATGACGAAATGAATTCTAAGAATTGTAAACGCTATCTATCAAGTAGAACTAAACAGTTCTGGAAAGAAATCTAATTCAGATCTATTAAAATATTTGTATTTAAAGCTTACTTACAAGCACTGCAACCGCAACCACAGGCACTTAGAAGAGTAATTTAAGTACATGACTGTTTCGTAAGCATAAAAAAATATAAATAAATAAAATATGATACTATTTGATACTGCATACACTTTTTAAGATCAAAAAATCACATTTTATCCAGTAAAATTTTTCTGTTATTCTAAGTTTAAATTTCTGGCGAAAACTGCTCAGAATTTACAGCACCTTTGAGTTGCCGGTTCATTTCTACATCGTTTTTCAATTCGCCATGTTTTTGGCCTTTTGATTCATATATCTCTTCGTATGCAGTAATTTGACTTAGATTTTCGATTAATAGTTGTGTTGAAAAACATATTTAAAATCCCTAATAAAGAACACAGACACACTCATTAACTACTTTTTATTCCCCAAAGGACACACAGGTCAATTAACTGTTGCAATTATAAGATATTAACTGATAAATTTTGATTTTTTTTTTGAATTCAAAGGAGCGCAATTTAGCTTAATTAGGTACAATTCCACAAATTTATATAAGTTGTTTTGATTGAACAAAATAGATAATTACTATGAACTTTATTAGCTCATAACCGAAAAATTTAATTATTTCCTGCAATACAAAAGAGTTATAATAGAAATCTGGTTTAGTAAGAAAGAAGAAGAGAAACAGCTATTGACTCAAAAGTTAACACTAAACAAACAACCACCTTCTCTCGTTAAATTTACCTCATATTAGGAAGTGTAACATAGTAAATGTCAATTTTATTGTCAATTTATTACTAATTGACCAATTAGTTTAATTACTTAATAATTTTGGTAAATTATAAGCAATTATAGATTAGTGTTAAAATTAGCTCAATTATTTTAGTAGTGAGTTTGGGCGTGGTATAACAAGCTATAAGCCTAAGCAAAGCATCGCAACTAACCCGGAAATATCGAATTTAATGTTTTTAAAAATTATAGTGAACTTAAATCGTGTTTATGGGATTACAAGAGATTTTGTATATCTCGGAAAGTAGATATATATTTGAAAGATATAACCTAAGAAAAAATTTAAATGTCAGTATATACACGATCTAGACCTTCAGTTTTTGAGATATCGATCTGAAATTTTGCACACGTTCTTTTTTCGCCAAGAAGCTGCGCATACCACCATTGCTTATAGCTGACATACAAACAGAACGATCGGAATCAAGTGCTTGCATGGAAAACTTTATCATTTGACGAAATATCTTCACGAAATTCGGCGTGAGTTATTGTCTAAGGCAATAATGTAATCTTAAAAGAAATTGTTCAGATCGGATAACTATAGTATAAAGCTGCAATACAAACTGAACGATCGAAATCAAGTTCTTGTAAGGAATCTTTCGTATATGTGAAGGATATTAAAGCTTTGGTGCAACCAAAGTTAACGGTATTTCTTGTTTTATTATAAAAAAAAAAACAATAAAAAACGTTTTTTACTAACTGACTGATATTATCCCTTATATAACAATTACGAACCTGTGGGATTATTTCTGGAATATGTTGTTTGCATTATTTTAATAAAATTTATATCATAAAAGGTACAAATATGTATTATATATTGTAGTTATAATTAAAAATGTATTTTAAGACTTACCAAGCTTAAAACCAAATGTATTGCTAGCTGAATCTGAAAGAAAGAGAAGATTATTATTAATAAAACACGAGTACATATTACTATAGTCTAATGATATAAAAGGATTACATAATCTAATATCCATTGTTAACTGTTACTATAGTAGATTCTTTAACCTATCTTTGGTTCAGATTTCACTGATAAACGCTCCAACGTTGCTTGTAGATTCTAGTCTGCACCACAACACTTTACAATTGTCTTTTATTAGGTAAGTCAAATCGAAACATCGAGATTGCACGATTTGCAGATCTTTTTAGCAGACTATGAAACTATATTTGAGATTAAGTTTAGATTCACTTGAAAAGCGATCCGTGGAAACGAATCTCTCGAAAAATCTTACATCTAGGTAGTTTATGGCCTCGTGATTGCCGGAAGCACTGTAATGCTTAGTACTTTTTTACATTTGATTGTCCACATATTACAAAAAACTTCGCCAAATCATTCAAGGAGGGCTTTATAAGTGGAATGCTGCATGATTCATCTTTAAGAGGTTTTTCTCGAAAACAAATAAACCGCATTTTTTTATGTTGTCTTAATAGTTTTAAAAAAGGGCGTTGAGGTTCGCATTAGATCATGGCTTCTCCAAACCATCCAACGTGTCGACGGACAACATGTAAGCTACATAAGTAGAATGCTTTAACAGTAAAAGATTCATATATCTAAGCAAAATATTTACTTTAGTACTTATGTATTGTACAATATATACCATGTATTTAGGTCTACGAACCAAAATATAAATTACAAATGAAATGGATGAAAAACATATACATATGTACATATAATTTCGCATAACGTAACGGCATATATGTATATTATATGTGCTTATGCATACATAAGTTTTATGTTCGAATGTCAGAGGTTAGTGGATATTTTGCCAAGGTTTCAAGTCAGCAGCAAGCGGCAGCAACAGGCCAAATGGCAGCCGCCGGGAAATATGTTGCAATTGCGCAGCGAAAAATGGAATTTTCCATTTCCCTTTTTTATTGTTTTCTTAATTTTTTGCACTTGCCTCTTGTGGCGTGTAATTTGTACCGACTGACTTTATACTACATTTGTACTTTTGTATGTACTCGTATATGCAAGTATTAATAATAAAGTTCACTTGACTGCAATATATTTTGCTTTTGTTGCTGTTGTTGTTTTCTTATTGTTTGGTAATTGCCATAATAATTTATTGCTATGTGCCATTAACACGCGTTCTTTTATATGTTACGTATGTTTGTAAGTAGTAACATTGCTATGCACATTAACTTTATAGCTTCATTTACGCATTTTTGTTGTTGTTACCGTTAAAATTTTTGCAAATGCCAAGAACAAACAGCAAATCCGAAAATTTTGTGGCAAAAGGAAAACAAAACCAAAGAACTAAAAAATAAATAAAACAATAAAAAACGGTTAGTTTATGAATAATATGTTCTGATAATGTAGGGTTGCCTCGGTTATTAAGCTATGCCAAATTTCGTGAAGATATCATATCAAATAAAAAAGTTTTCCATACAAGGACTTTTGATCATTCAGTTTATATGGTAGCTATATGCTATATTGGTTAGATATTCGGTTTCGACAAATCAGCAGCTTCTTGAGAAGAAAAGAACGTGTGCAAAATTTCAGATCGATATCTACATACAGACATGGTTAAATTGACTCAGTTCGTTGCGCTAATCATTTATATATATATTTTATATGGTCGCCGACATTTTCTGCTGGATATTACAAACTTCATGGCAAACTTAATATGCTCTCTTAAGGGTATAAAAACTTAAGTCAACACTGCACAGCAATATTTATATAATATGCGTACCAACAACAACAACTCAGCGTTAAAGATGAAATATCTAAATTCGTAGTTTTTGTTGTTGTTGTGTATGGCAAAATTTACCATAGATGGCTGTCAGTTGCAGAAAAACCCATAAATAATTGCCGATGAGCTCTGCCAGGCGCTGAGTGAAAATTCGTGTATTTTAATCTCAACTGTCCGGTAACATTCTGTGAGCAATTCACATGCATGTCAGCTTGTAAATTTGCCATAAATTATTACGCTCCTGTTAAATTTGCAATTTGGGCGCTTTTAATTTATTCTGCTGGGTATTGTTGCGGAGCGCTTGTACAATATCGTTTTTTGTTGTTGTACTCTACGAATTTGCCAACTGCATTACTTGTTGCTGTTTATTGAGTTGGAATCGTAATCGTTATCGATTAGCACGGTTCACTGGTTGCCAGCCCAAATGGATTCGTGGCGAATTAATGACTTGAAGTTTAATATTTATATATGTATACAGACATATGTGTGTAAGTGATTATGAACTTTATTTCAAAAGTGAATACAGGGTTGCAATTCGGTTTACTATTGATGCTTGCTTTTTTAGTAAGGAGTTTTGGAAGACTTTTCTTCGATTAATGTGGGATCTCGTTCGTACATGTATGGGGCTTAGCATTAAAAGCTGCACTGATACACTATTCTGGTGTGTGTGTCGTCTACCACACACGATTATAGTTTTGAAAATAGCAGTTAGTCGAGATAATACTACTACAAAGCATGTTTAGAGATTTCCATGGGATTTGAGGTAGTTTTGCTCAGAGAAAACTAAAAAAAATTTGCGATTCTAACTTCGGCAAAACCTATAGTGTCAGTTACCTAAATACTCTAATTATTATTAGAGTAATAATTATTAGATTCGCCAGTCAATTTTATTGCACTTTGTTCTTGGTGAACGGGAATTTTGGTGCAGATAGGCGGAAAAGTTCGTATCCTTTTAAGTAAAATCACACTTTTTTGAAAAAACTCGACTTCAGTTTTCCACATACATAGTTGCAATCAAAAGCGGTACACCTATACATTTTATCGATCTTACAACTACTCGATATATATTTTCTATTACAATTTGTCTTTGGCTTCTCTCTCTATTTAGGCACTTTTTGGCCCCTCTTATTATCCTAATTAGAATTTTCTGAATTAAAAAAAATTATTTTCTATTCTTTTTGCAGCCCTCGATTATTTCCTCTGTACAAGTTTCGTCTGCAAATTCATTCAAAGCCTTTGAGATGAGCCTGTAATGTACTTTAAACTTGCATCCAGCTTATATCAAACGGTATAAAAAATTCCGCTTGAGTATGACATTGAGAAGTGTTCAGCAATATTTCTTAAATTAAAACCTCTTTATCGTCACGTACGTAAGATGTTCAAAGATTTTGCTATAAATCGGATCTTGATTGAAAGACCTAAATTATAGGCAACTAGTGCATACGTTAACAGAATTTTCAAATTATATTTTCGTGTTTGCGAATAAAACCCTTAGCCTAAAAATAAGCTTCTTGAAGTCAACACTGCAAACGATACTTAAAAGACTAGTAAATGATTCGACTGCTGACTTGCACATTTTGTGAACTCAATCCACTCTTCACACTCTTCTCTTATATTTGAGTTTCAGAAATAATGAAAAGTAGGCATAGTAGTGGTTTTTAACCGTCTTTCGTTAATAAGTGCATATTTAGTGATTTCCACAGGTCCTACTTACTCGTAAAAACCAAACGAGAAAAAACGTTAACGCTTCACAAATAAAAATGTTTCCATACAAAGACTTGGCCTGTCTCATTACAACTTCGTCGAAAGTTGAAGCATAAAAACTAAGAAACATATGTAACCATACACATATAAAAGTATGTAAGCATATATCAGTCTGCCCAGCTGTTTGTAAAACACAAATGAGCAGATACACCCACCACATATTTGTTGCCACACGCTATCATACGCCCACTTCCCCAACTATGCCACACCACGCTTAAGAGTCAACTTGGCGCTAACAAAATGAAGTGAGTTAAATTAAAAGATGTGTGATATTATTTGTTATTGTTTATAACACCGGCAACGAACGCTTTGGCGCCCCAATGTCCCGAAGTAAGTACATGCAAACACACGTAACTAATTTAGCACTGCCAAAACTAATTTTACAAATAATGAGCGGAAATAGACTAACGGCATGAAAAATATGCGCAGCACACCGGTTAAATACATATATACATATATCTATTTGTATGTATATATGTATATTAATATATATAAACTAATTTACATATATATTTCCATTCTTAAAAAAGCACTTTGTATAAATTAGTAAATACTTTTCGCACTTCTTGAAGGGTTAAGTAGTGGAGGAAAAGAAAATAATAGCTTTACCGTTAGTTTGCAGATTCATACATTAAATAATGAGAAAACCAACAGCTGAAAGTGAGCAAAAAAGCAAACAGCAATAAAATATATGATAGAAGCGAAAGTGCCACTCTGCTTGGCAGCCAGCAAATTTTTTTCAGACTTCTGTTCGGTAGAAGAATGGCGTCAAACAAACAGGGACTTAAAAGAAAGAAAGCAAGCAGCTTTGCAAAAACATGTGCACATAAATCTTTTTAATAAAAATACGCAGCAAAAGCTGGCAACGCATTTGCGTGGGTGTATAGGGTGGTCCTTATGAGGTTTTGTTGTTTAATTAAACTTATTTTAAAAAATGTTGGCAAGTTGACAGACTCTGCTGGATAAAAATTTAGATCCAGTCTGGCTAGGTAGACCCAGCTCTCATCGGATGTACGTGGCGGTCCATAAGGTTTTTTTTCATATGTCATTTTGACAGTAACAGCACTTTTATGCTGAAAAAAGTTAAGAAATATTGCAAACTTCTGTCCAAAATCAATATAAGATTTTATGCAAAAAATTCGTGTGACTAGCACACTAGTATGGAATGCTGTGACCAACGAAAACATGTGATAGGTTCTTCATTCTCAAACAGCAACAATCGGACTCAAGATTCGCCTCATGTGATTCATTTACAATGTACAATTTACTCGGAAATTGTAGGCACATGCCCAATCGTTTCATCATTTATTTTTTGGTAGAGTTTAAAAGCAATTTAAAGGATCACCTGACAATCAACATCCCAACTTTAGACTTTGAAGCAGTTCAAAAGCACCACAAGTTGGTCATACAACTTCTCCGGCTACAAGGC